GACCTTTGTAAGGAACAGTGATGTGTCAACATTTCCTCTGCTCATCCTTGTCCTTTCCCCTCTCCGCACCATCACACACTCCATGCTGGTGACCACAGAACCCCTGGGGAGCCGTGGCAGCGGACCGAGGAGGGCTCCATGGGTTCTGTCGGACATTGCAGTGGAATGGAGTATCATCGGGAGGCAGGTGTTGTCCATAGGGACCTTGGCGCACGCATATTCTAGTAGACACACAACAGCTGCAAGTATGGGCGCTCACTTTGTCAAATTGTGATAGTTCATATTGTGGTCAGTATGGTGGATTTCGGAATGGCCAGGACCTTGAGAATGACGCAATATACAGTTCTCGTTAGGGGCGAAGATCCATACGATGGAGCCACAGAGGTAATGTACAGAGTTAGTGAAGTGTGCACGCATGCATGACTGGCCCTTTCTATTAGCGTTTGACTCAAGAAGTATGCGACAGCAAGTGACAGTGTGGAGTTTTCGGAAATTGTGAGGTACGTGATATGGAGTCTCGGGCATAACCCATGAGGCTACACAATCCACAGTTGGCTCCCTCACAATCACACACACACATAAGTATCAATGCCACTGTGCACAGATCCGATCTGGTGAGAGAGGGAGAGACTAGCTCCACCACCTGCTGTCCCAGACCACTCTACTCACTCATGATCACTGCTGGTACTGATATAGAGTGTGTAAACAGATCTTGTTGGTTTATGCCTGGTGGTGACTATGATCACTGACATTGTCTGTATATCACAACAGGCATCCAGAGCATCTCCTGCAGACCATCATTCCTCATCTACTAAAGACACTCAGCAGAGCAGCAGTGAGCTGCTGGCCTGGGATGGAAGCCTGGAGGCGGGGCTGGACAAGACAGTTGGAGCACCCTTGGAGGCTGGAAAAAACCTGTATCTCGAACTCCAGCTTTCTTATACAAACGTGTAATATTGCAGCTATAATTATTTCCACCGGAAGTAAATAATCACGCAGTCAATATAGTACGTGCGCAAGCGAACGACACCGCAAGTCGGGAAGATGTTGTCGTGGTTGGTGGCCGTTGCTGTGTCTGCCGCCCTCTGGATCGCAGGAGATGGTATTTATATTTTCCGTTGCCACTCCTATATGCGTAGTCTATGCTACTTGTGTTACTTTCACATGACTGTGCTGTGTCTAGGTAGTTCCCATCTGGTGTGATGGTTAAACCAGGCAATGTCTAGGTAGTTCACTGACCAGTGGGTTCCCAGGCAATCAATGTTCTATAACTGTGCTGTGTCTAGGTAGTTCCCTGACCAGTGGGTTCCCCACTCTGGAGGAACTGATAAGAAATGGATCTCTACTTGAGAGATATTCAACTCATGATGGGGAGATGAGGTCTGTACCTGGTGTTAGTGTCAGGTCCAACTGCTCTGGATCCAGTACTCGGATCAGTAAAATCACTTTCATAGCTCTGCCTCATCTTGAACCCGGTGGAGGTGTGACTGACATGGCTACACCACAAATAGTAATGAGAAATGATGGTGGTGCACGTGGCCCACCACATGTTATTCTGACTATTAGAGAAACCATAACTCCAACCTTTGGAGAATTTGGATATGAACTGAATGTGCCCATGCCACCAAACACCAATATGTTCAATAATGGAGACATGTTATGGATAAGACATGGAGGTAGTGATCTGAGACTACTTCACCAGGTGGGAGACGAGGAGAGGAATATTTGCTGGAGTTTTGAACCTGATTCCTGTGAGCCTGACTATGACTACCCCTTACTGGCCATTGAAACAGGTATATACTTTTGCATGAAAGTAATTATTGTCATAGACTAATGTTAGTTCCACTGCTGTTCCAGATCCTGCTGGGTGTATTGAGGGACTGGTGTCAGAATCTGAACTGAGGAGACTGTGGGAGAACAGAACTCTACCTGTCCTCTACAGCAGCCCCATGAGAGAGATCTCACTGAGCTGTCCATCAGTCTCCATCTCAAGAATATTAGTGGGAGCTTACCCTTCAATGAATGGAGATGGACTACCTCAAATTAATGGCCAGCCGTGCAATTTCAGTACAGAACCAGTCACTGAAGGAGTCAATGTGTATGAGTGTGTGCTAGACCCTGTTGCAGTAGATGGAGATGTCTCACTGACTATCAGTCAGAGACATGCAGATAGTAAGATTGGCTTCCTTCACGATGGCCAGACTGACACTCCACTCATCTCCCTGAACTCCAGTAAGTAGCAGCTGCTGTGTGGAGAGAGTCCAGTGAGAGTGTTGCTGTTCTGTAGGTGGAGACTGCAGCTCTAGTCAGCTACTGAGTGAGCCAGACCTACTGGAAATGACTGCTCTCTACATCCCCTACATCATTGAGAGACAAGATGATGAGTTTCAATATGAAGACCTGAACGTCACACAAAATGGCATCCTCATAAACTGGACATTTGTTGCAAAGAACATGGGGGAAGGAGAGGAATACCTAAACTACTAATATATTAGTGTCACAGAACTGCATTACACAGAAACAATTGAAAACATCAACTGTACTGAGACTCCCTATGCCAATGTGTATGAGTGCGGTGTGACTCCTGAAACAGTTGAAGTTGGAAACTTCATTAGTATTGCTTTGCCAGCTTACAGCAGTGCTCGACTGCTACTCAGTTTCCTCTCCGTCGATGGAGGTCCAATCTGGGAGAGTCTGAATTGAACGTAAGAAGGTGTCCCCATCATCACATTGGAGTGGGTAGTCTCTTTAGCTACCAACTGACTAGATTTCAAACCACCACACAGTGTCCTAACAGTGTGACAACATCATCGACCTCAATGGTAAGTGTCTCTATTATGTGTTCCCCCGTGAATGACTTCTTCACTCCATCCATAATATCATCTCGATCCATCATCAATAACACCTTCACTTCAAATTCAGTTAGCTACCATTGCTATTCCACATCAATCCATTCTCCAGCAACCTAATCCACCACCACCCTACTCCAATCACCATCTTCTGTCATCATCACTGGCTCTCCCACACAGTCAACCCCCTCTGATAATCCCCCACTGAAGACACCTCAGACCAAGTCCAGCAGTGAGCAATACTGGAGTGATAGTGGGTGCTAGTGATGGGTCTTATACTGGCAGTCCTCTGTTCCTGGCCGTGGTTCTCTGCTAGTCTTCATACTCTGTCGGAGGAAACACACCAAGTACGACGAGAAAGAAGAGGGAGAAGAGAGAGATGACAGAGAAGAGAGAGCAGCCATGGACAACCCAGTCTACTCAGGAGGTGAGGGAGTCATTTGGCCAGTGGGCGACCTCTAGTCTTGTGTGGTCTCCTAATCGGTTCAAAGTCCTGGCACTTGCTCCAAACCACGTCCCAGGGCCGTGACACGGAGTCTGGCAGACCTGAAGACAGAGGCAGCAAACCACAGTATGATGTCACCACTCCCAACAGCCCTCCTCATCAACCAACAGTGGACAGGTCTACGACGTCCCTGACAATACCCCCAGTAGTAATGACGGGAGGAAGATAAATGATTCATTTGACAACCCGGGCTACTACTCCACCATACACGAGGTCCACAGCACCACAGACAACTCGCAGATCGATGCAATGGTGAGCCCAAGTTTGCTTTCTCGGGCTCTGTTTGAGCCTCTGACTCCCTCCACCTCCACAGTTGTCCAGCAACCACTACGAGATGGAAATCTACGTGCCAACAAAGGTACCGTGGTGCAACTCCCTTTCCTCACAGTGATATGATAATACTCGCCGTGTTTTCGTTCAGGAACAAAGAACCTACGTGGAAAGTGGAGCAGTACCAAATGAAAATATTTATGCCACTCTGGAGGAGGTATACACATCACGTTCAGTAGAAAGTTTATTTTCGAGTTTGTGGTTCGGGTCAATGAGTATATAGCAATGACAGTTATCAAACAAGACTCCAAGAGGTTTGATCAGGGCTGATAGACCTACCCAAATTTGGAGAATCTGATTGGCAAGCATGTGGCATTCTTGCTCAATTACCATGTAATGTGGGTGGCATGCATAGAGAGTCTGGTCTGACAGCTTGTGTAAACATCTCCCCAACCAACCCAGAGCCAGGCAGGTAATGAAGGGAGGACCCTGTCATTTTTCGAAGAGTGCGAAACCTACTGGAGACCGGCCTCGAACAAGGAGGATCTCTATCAGCAGCTATCACAGCGGAAGTACAGGGAGATCCCCAAACATCACATCAGGTCAGAAAACATTCAGGATGTCAAAAGATTGGAAGCAGAGTAATTATAGTGTGTGGTGATCTGAGATTACTGTTTGCAGGATAACAGAGCACCTTGGCTCAGGGCAGTTTGGTACAGTGAACAAAGGAGTTTGGCAGCGAGGAGGGGAGGGAGGTGTGGTGGAGGTGGCGGTAAAGATGCTCCAGGAGGGAACCTCTGAGCAAGACACTGTCAGGTTCCTGCAGGAGGCGGCCATCAATGGCCAGTTTCAGCACGCCAACATTGTCCAGCTTCTTGGCGTGGTCACAGTGGGCAAACCGGTAATGTAAACACATCCCTAATTTCCCAATCGTAGTAAATACCTTGCATGTGTGTATGGAACTGTATTGCCTTTCATGGCCTGCTACTCTTTGGCATGTATGGCATCAGTCTTATGTTGGTGGTGTGTGAAACCATGTGTGTCCCCCATGTAGGTCATGATAGTACTGGAGTTGGTGAGTAACGGAGACTTGAGGGGCCTACCTTCTCAAACACAAGCCCACGTAAGCCCAATGGAATGTGACCCAGTGACCACATACCTCAATTTGATGTGTTTTTCGTTCAGTCCGGGAGAGCTCCCTCCACCAGAGACAGCGGGACTCCTCTCCCAGTTCTGTGTCCAGGTGGCCAGAGGAATGGAGTACCTCAGTGGCAAGGCCTTTGTCCACAGAGACCTGGCAGCCAGAAACATCCTCGTCACTGACTCCAAGACATGCAAGGTGAAGAAACTGAAGAAACATCTTTTTGACTATAAATTGTCTGCTATAATTAGATCAGTGATTTCGGGATGGCTCGTGATCTGGAGGAAGGGACCTACTACGTCTCTCACGGAGGGAAAGTTCCAGTCAAATGGACAGCGCCTGAGGTTAGGCGAGGATCATTTGCTATCTCAAATGCTGCTGTGTGATGAACATGTATCTGGCTTTGCATTCTCAGGCCCTCCACTACAAGAAGTACTCTACAGCCAGTGACGTGTGGAGTTTTGGGTGTCTCATGTATGAAATATGGAGTCTCGGACACAAGCCTTTTGAAGGCTACACCAACCCTGATGTATGTTTAACACTATAATGCACTGGATGTGCATGTTTGTTATAGCACGAACACAGAATTTAAGTTTTAAAAAAGTTGGCAAGTTTGCTATTCATCATTTTATACAGACTCTGAAGTTGATTGATAATGGTTGTCGACTGGCCCCGCCCCCTGGCTGTCCCTTGGAAATGTACCGTCTCATGATCACCTGTTGGTATGTGAACGCAATTGCTCTTGTAGTTAGTAGTGTTTTGTTATTGTGTGGTATTCAGGAATGCAGATAAGAGTGGCCGTCCTCAGTTCAGAGAGATTGTGGAGACTCTGTCCCAGCCAGAGAGCCTTCTCCTCCACGTCCCTGAGGAGGTCACCAGAGGTCATCCCCAGGCCTCCGTTCTCGGAGCTCCTCTGGAGGCTGGCAGGAACCTCTACACTGAACTTCAGAATACTTACATGCAGTAATTTTCACGATATCTTTGCACCAGTCAAGATCTGGATCAGTCGCATTTTAACGCCGGCAAATCACGCCTCCGTACTACGTGCGCATGCGCGAGCGGACCTTCTGGACTTTCGTACAATACGTACGTAGCAGCAGTGCGCTGGAGAGACTGGCTGTGAGGAGCAGAGCTGCTATGGCCCTGAAAATTGCCATCGTTGTGTCCCTGAGCTTTTGGAGCCTTTGCGCTCAGCCAGCAAAAGGTAGCTATAGTCAATTTCTTCATTCTGCTGTAGCTATGGCTATAGTAACTATGGCTCTCTTACAGCCCGAACGTTTTCTAATCTGGACGAGATACGTGGAAACGGATCCCTGTTAGTGAATGTTAGCCCTGATGTCCGAATTACTGGCCAGTTTGTGCTCTTTCCACATATGACGTTTAATTGCTCTGGTCTTATCTATAAAGTGAAATTTTTAGGATTACCAAGCACTAATTCAGACCCAGCCTTTGGCCTGGGTCGGTTTCAACGTCGTGAAAACTATTACCAGGTTATAAAATGGTTAATTACCACTGTTAGGAGTGGAGCATTAATTGAACAAAGTCCTCGACTGGGAGTAGTAATTAGCTTTATGCCAGGCGATGTATTTGCCATGCAACAGTCACAGAACCTTCTAATTTACAACAAAATTGAGCTTCTCAGATGTTCAGAGACTGGTGACATACAAATGTACAAGTGTGTCACAGGCCATGGATATCAACCACTGGTGACTATTGAGACAGGTAATAACAAATAAAATACTATGACCACTAATGCCACAGCTCCACAGATCATCCGGAGTGTATCAGTGGCTTTGTTGGTGATGATGTCTTGCAATACATTATGCGATCCACTGAACTAACCACTCACACTTCTCAACAACACCTTCAACCATTACTAGTTTTGTGTGATGGAGTATCTATCGACAAGTTGATATTTGGTGCTAGACCCTCCCTGGAAGGTCCACCACAAATTATGCCCTGTGATTTCGAGTATTGTAACCAACTCAGTATGTTCAATACAACTTCATATCTCAATGTTTATGAACACAAACCTAGTTCTTCATTTACACAAAATGGTTTCGAACTGTTACCTGCAGTGATCAATAGTTTTCAGATATATTATTACCAGCGCTGTGCACTGGTGGACTGTAATGACCGGCCACTTGTGGCAGTTGAGCTTAGTGGTAAGTATGGATCATCAGATTTGCATAAATCTCAACACCCTATGTCAGATTGCCCAGGTGATGACTGTGGTAATTGTACTCGTGGTTTCATGGGAGTGGATGAGCTGAGAGAGCTCGCTCGCTACATTCCCAATTTTGCTGAAATCACCACCAACCAGTCATTTCCAGATCTGAAGATCTCGGAGGATGGCTTTGTGGTGAAATGGACATTCACAGCACAGATGTTAGACCCAGCCTCAGGAAGGAGAAGAGGAGGATGGAGGATAGATGGTTATCCTCAGCTGCTCATAGTATCACACTCTAGTGATAGGGTTCACTGTCTCAACAGCTCTACAGCAGTTCCCACTGAGTATCCCAATGTGTATGAGTCCACAGTTTCTCCTCCTGTCCCAGTGAAGGTCGGAGATTACATAGCAGTCCACAATCCACCAGCTGACAGAGCTGCTATGAGACTAATGTTTGTGAGGATACCTCCAGTTGACCCAGTGACAATAACCAGCAGTAAACAACTCCCCTTACACCCTCTGGTACACTTGCACATCGGTAAGAATGATTCTGGTAAACTATAATATTGCAAACAAGTGTATTATCTTTCTCCAGTAAAGGAGATTTCTTCTATTCCTGGAGGTGGGTGTTTACATGACATTGCGATTGAAATGTGATAATTATTTTTTGCCAGAGACTACTACTACTACTGCTGTGCACTTGGAGCCAACTATTGCAGTACATCCAAAGGAACAAGATAGAGATAGCTCTGTAGCTGAAGATTCCAATATCGGAGTCATAGCTGGTGGAGCAGTGGGTGGAGTATTAGCTCTTGTGGTCTCCATAGTTATTGCTACTCTAATAGTAGCAGTAGTAGTCTTACGTCGTAAGAACAGGGGGAAAGTGACTACTGCACAGATTGAAGGAACTACAAACCCTGTTTATGGCACTAGCAGTAGTAAGTTGTGCCCAGTGCATTTCTCTGTGTTGATATGCTGTGTTTGTTTGGCATATGGCTCTCAGCTTCAGCAGCAGAGCTCACAAACACCGGTGAAAATACACTCACGTCTCAAATATATGCTGAGCCCAACACAAGAAATGATTCTGGTGATGGGGCAACCAGACCTGAGGTCCCAGTACTCTGTTGCTACTGAACAGAGTGCTCAGTCCAACAACACTACAGGACACATCGGTACTATCACCAACGCCGAGTATTTTCTTACAACAACAGTGCATGTAGTTACTGAGGTAAGAGTGAAAAACAGTGAAACTATTTCAAGGAGTTTTAGTGTTGCTCCCCACAGAACCACTACGAGTTTGCAGTTTACGTTCCTACAAAGGTAATGGTATTTTCCGTGTTTGCGTCCTGGGTATATAGTGTAGGTAGTACTTTCAACCACATCAGGAGCAAAGAGAGCAGCTCAGTCAGAGTGAGGCAAAAACCAAAAAACCGACCTTTCGTCCCAACGCAAGGGTAGGGAAACAAGAACCGTCAACCTCTTCCCATCTTTCATTCTACATCCCACTTCTACAGAATGCCCAAACTCAAGAAAAGAGGGATCAACGCGACCTAAAAACAGACATAACGTTACTAAAATATTTTTCGTACCAACAAGCACCACCACACAATCAAAGGTCTTTATAATAAGAATCACTACCACAACCCCCACAAACTACCTACGCTGCATCTTAAACCTCCAAAATAACTCACTTTGCTCCTGCTAAACCTTAAAAAAGTACTAACTACATCCACCATTCATCTCACTCCCCTCATCCAGACTACCATCCACCCCACCAAAAATTACACAAAGGAAACAATCCACTCCACCAAAACCACTCAAATAATAAAAAGGTTTAGCCACCAACATACACCACATTCACCCCCTACTTCGCCACTTCAAATCTCAATAACCACTCATTAATCACTAAATGGAAAAAGTACAAACCCTCCTTCCCTTCTCACTTACCAAATCTAACTAAATATACCAAAACGAACAAATTTCCATTACTGCATATTAATAATCAAACAACCAACGAGCGCCTGCCCACCCATATAAGTCCCACTGGCACCACCCTTATCACTCTCCACAAAAAACGAACTGAAAAAAAGAGGCGAAGACACCCACGCGATCATCTCGATTAACCCGCCAATAACCACATAACACCTCACCCAGCACAAACACCACCTAAAATTAGGAAAAAAACAAAAACCAAATCCAGGAGCCGAAGGAGCCAATTAAATTTAATTTATTGAAAAAATTAACACAACAAAAAAAAGATATAAAAATGTCGCAGTAAGACCTTTCAACGTAGTACACACTAATTCACATTTTAAACTTTTCAAAAAATACTTTCTTTCTAATAATCAGGGAACAACTTTACTTTCAAGCATAACACTCAACCACCATTCAAAGAGAGTCAACTAATAAAAGAACCACAAAAAAGCGATAATAACCAGAAACAAATGCAAAAATCCCTTGCATACCTCACTAACATCACCGATTTATCAACATCGAATATTTATAGCAAAATCAACGGTCTAATGAAAACATTGATACATGTGGAAAGCGAATAAACTGTAGAAAGGGAGCATACAAAAAGGGTTTCTGTAAACAAAAACAACTTATGCGGTCGACAAAAGACGAATTAGATAAAAACGGGACGCAAGACTGCAAAAAAATAAAGGAATATAAAAAAACGCCAATAGGATCTACAAAACGAAAAATAAACATTACAAAACCAGAAAAAATAAATGCATGTAAAAACGCGCGAATAATAACAAACGTTTATGCCACTCTGGAGGAGGTATATAGATAGTGCATTAAAGTGTGAAAGTAAGAGACACAAGTGATGTTTTTTACAGGCACAAGTGGGCAGAAAGAAAGAAAAGCTGAGTTTCTTTGATGAGTGTGAGATCTACTGGGACCCAGCTCCAAGCAGGGACGGGCTCTATGCCCAGCTGGCAAACAGAAAGTACAGAGAAATCCCTTCCAGCAGCATTAGGTAAACTTCACACTATTGAAACGGTGTGCATGGTTTATGTTGGAAGTGTGTTGTTGTTGACACAGAGAAACAGGGCATCTGGGCTCGGGTGAGTTTGGTACGGTAAACAGGGGAGTCTGGCTGGATGGAGGCAAGAGTGTGGATGTGGCATTCAAGAAACTGAAAGATGATTGCTGCGAGGAAGAAGCTGTCAGGTTCCTGCAAGAGGCAGCCATCATGGGCCAGTTCAGACACTCCAACATCGTCCAGCTACTGGGAGTAGTGACGATAGTTAAACCAGTGGGTGTTAGCTACCGTAGTTTACATTCTATATAAACACTCTTAATGTAGGTGATGATAGTCACAGAGCTGGCTCATAACGGAAACCTGAGGGAGTATCTTCTCTCTAAATTTTCCACCGAGTAAGTAGAAGCATACAGTAAATAGTACACTCATAATCCTTTCCCCTCGCAGTCCGGGAGAGCTCCCTCCACCAGAGACAGGAGGAGTCCTCTCCCAGTTCTGTGTCCAGGTGGCCAGAGGAATGGAGTACCTCAGTGGCAAGGCCTTTGTCCACAGAGACCTGGCAGCCAGAAACATCCTCGTCACTGACTCCAAGACATGCAAGGTCCCTCCCACCTCCTTTATTATGCTCAATATAGTGGCTTTGCACAGATAAGTGACTTTGGATTGTCAAGAGACTTGGACAATTCCTACTATGTGTCTCAGGGAGGTCAAATTCCGATCAAATGGACAGCTCCAGAGGTATCATACCTCATTTGAGTGACTGTGAACAAATCATGCCGGTTTTACCCCAGGCTCTCCACTACAAGAAGTACTCAACAGCCAGTGACGTGTGGAGTTTTGGGTGTCTCATGTATGAAATATGGAGTCTTGGACACAAGCCTTTTGAGGGCTACACTAATGCTGAAGTGGGGACTTAAACTAGATGCATTATTGCTAACATAGTCTTGCTAATGTCACAGGCTGTTAGAGTGGTTGATAGGGGACAGCGACTAGCTCCACCCCCTGGCTCTCCAAAGGAAATGTATCGCCTCATGATCAACTGTTGGTATGATATAAAGCTAGCTAAGCATTTATCGACACTGCCACATTTTGCATTTGGAAGTGTGACCAAATCCTTGTAGTATTTTAGTAGTGGTTTGTTATTGTGTGGTATTCAGGAATGCAGATAAGAGTGGTCGTCCTCAGTTCAGAGAGATTGTGGAGACTCTGTCCCAGCCAGAGAGCCTTCTCCTCCACATCCCTGAGGAGGTCACCAGAGGTCATCCCCAGGCCTCTGTCCTCGGAGCTCCTCTGGAGGCTGGCAGGAACCTCTACACTGAACTTCAGAATACTTACATGTAGCTATAAAATGACTCTGTCTGTGGATGTCAGTACGCAAGCAACAGGTGGACATATTCATCACTAAAATCGGTGCATTTTTCAGCTCTATGTTGTTGTCGTGTCTGTGATCATATTTATCTGTGCCAGTGACCGGCGATATAATTATGCGCGCGCATTACTTGTGTGCGCATGCGTGATGCGCGTCTCGTTGTAAAACCGCGGCCGACACGTCCCGGAACGCGGGATGTTAAAAACGTGCGGTGCGTTCCCGGCCGTCTGAAGAGCAGAAAGAGAAAGATCGAGATGACCTACACCGTGTATTATCTCGTAATTGTACTTCTACTTGCACAGACGTGCCATCTACAAGGTAAATATAATTTAGCTAGCTACGTATATTATACCGTCCGTGAATATCGCGCACCTCGGCATGTATTGCTAATAAGAAAGCTTCTCAATCCGAAATCCATAAACTTTCTGTATATTATCTGTGTTTTTTCAGCACTCCTTTTACCAGTGAGTGAAAAAGATCAGTTTAGCCCAGCCCGAGTGGCTTGGCAGACAGTTCTGTCTGTATACTCCATGAATTCTCTGTGATATTTGATAAGCTGCATGTTTTACCTGCTCTGTGCCAAAAAGGTTCATACCCGAGCACATCATTGCTGGCCAGCTCTGCACACTGCTACAAAAACTGTTTTCCCTCCCTCTCTATAATATTTCTCGTGCAGATATGCAGTGCATGCAAGGGTTTCTGGATGAGCGTGTTCTGAGAAGCAAAGCAGTTCTTATTGGTACAACAGTGGAGAGACATCGAGAGCAAATTTTAGTTCCTGCGGTGAAGTTCACGTGTTCAGGCAGCCTCACCGGTTGGAGGTTTGTGGCTCAGAGGTTCGGTGATCGAGGGAGAGATGGCTACCCAAAGGTTCAAGTGTGGAGACCTCAGTCTGGTTCTCCAGAGGTCTACGATATCGTTCGTTCCGTGAGGGTCTCCCCGCAGAGGACGGGTCACAGCAACGTGTACACACACACTCTCGCCAGCCCCCTATCCTACCAGACTGGAGATGTCCTGGGGTTGTACCACCCTTCAGCTGACACCGCAGCCTATAAGATACTATCTGTACATCATGGAGGTCCAAACAACTACTACCTACCAAGGCAAGACGGCTCCAGTGAGATGTTCAACACGCAATCATCTGGAGTTAGAGTCCGCAGAGACTTTCCTCTAGTGGGAGCCATAACAAGTGAGTTACAATATCCCCGAGAGGAAGATACTTGACTCAGTTCTGTGCTCCAGACAATCCTCAGTGTCTGTCAGGGTTTCTGAGTGAGAGTGACCTTAACGCCAGGGGCCAGGCTCTCGGGAGGGGAGTCCAGGTACCAGGCCCTGTCGGATCAACAGAGACTCACGCTATCTACGACCTACAGCTGCAATGGAATGATCGGTCGTATCTTAGTGGCTGGGCAGAACAGGGGGACTGGTGGCAGTAGAGATAAGTACCCCGAGGTCCACATCATGAGGTTCTCCACGCCCGGCTACTATCTCCGAGTTGAGAGTTTTGAACTGAACCAGCTGACAGACGTGAAGAGCCCCAATGTCTTGGAATTCAATCCCAGAAGCACACGATCAGTACGACCAGAGGATGTGATAAGAGTCTACCAACCACAGGCCTCAGAAAGTGTGTACGAGGTCTACCACGAGCCTGGGGTGGGACCCACCAATTACTACATTGACGATATATCGCAGGCAACTAGGAATATATTTCCTTTGAATTCAATAAGCATGCGAGACAACAGCCAACCTCTCTTCATTGTGGAGCTAGGTAAGTTGAAATGGTGGAACATGGATATGATGACGGTGCTTCAAATGTATATATACTCAGTTGCCAGGTGCCCCTCGCTGCAGAATCCAAGCAACGGACAAGTTGAAGTATCAGGTTCAGTAGCTTTCTACGAGTGTGATTCTGGGTACAGACTGGATGGAGTGGATCAGAGGCTCTGTGATAACAACACTGCACAGTGGATTGGGGCGGATCCTCAGTGCACACGTATGCCATGACCTCCCTAATAGCTGACATTTTTGACTTTGTTCTCTCCATTAGTCGTAGATTGCGGTCCATTGCCTGAAGTGGCCAACGGCCAAGTCACCCTCTCAAGTGGCACAGGGCTTGGAGCGGAGGCATCCTATTCATGTGACAGTCAATACTCACTGGATGGCAGCTCTACCAGGCGATGCATGGCAACCAATGAGTGGTCTGGCCAAGCACCAATCTGCAGACGTATGTCACCATTATCATTACATCATAAGCTCAACTAATGTAATGGTAGTGTGGTGAAAGAGAACCCCACTGTGATTCCAGGTTTATGCAGCACACTCAGTGGTTTGGCAGGTGGGTCCGTGGGAGCACCCAGTCGACCAGTGCAAGGAGATAGAGCTACGTTCAGCTGTTACCAAAACTATGAGCTTGTTGGTGGAGCCACTGCAACCTGTCAGGCTGATGGACAATGGTCTTCTCTTCCGTCCTGCCAATGTCAGTAACAACTCATATTCGTAAACCTTACGAAAGTCGATTGGTTTTTCATCAATTTTCAGTGATCCAATGCCCGGTCCTTGCACATCCTGATAACGGTGTGGCAATTATCAATTTGGACAGGAGAGTTGGTTCCACAGCCACATTCAGGTGCAACAGAGGCTACCAGCTGAGTGGAGAGCCCACCCTCCACTGTCAACAAAACAGAGAGTGGTCTTCACAGCCTCCAATGTGCCAACGTAAGACGGTCCATACTAGTCACATAGTATTGATTTGATCTCTGCGTTGTGTTTTATTCCGTACTCCAGTGATTGAGTGTCAGCAACTGAGCCAGCCTACCAATGGTGCGGTGGTTGTCACTGGCAGGGAAGCAGTCTACACATGCAACGAAGGGTATCAGCTTGTTGGGTTTGCCACCATAACCTGCCATACTGATGGAATCTGGTCACCCCAGCAACCTACTTGTGAACGTAAATTCTACAATCTCAAGTGTATGCATCATTATTTTCTCCCTGATCTTCAGCAATACGGTGTCCAGTTTTGTTCAACCCTGCAAATGGGAGGGTGGAGCTTGGCAGTACACATGTGGGTTCCTCAGCAAACTATACATGTTTCCCTGGCTATCGTCTCGAGGGAGAGTTAACTCTGACATGCCAGCTATCGACAAGAGATTGGTCTCATTCTCCTCCTACTTGTGAATGTAAGAAACCTCTACTTGATTATGGGTTCCATGAGAACCAAGTTCTTCTCTAGTAACAGACTGTGGTCCACCGGAAATACCGCGAAATGGCTATGTCACTCTTCCGTCTGGACGGACACGTCTCAATGACTATGCCCTCTACTCTTGTGTAGCTGGCTACACTCTAGAGGGTAGAGAGCCGAGGGTGTGCCAGGAAAACGGACTGTGGTCTGGGGAACTGCCAGGTTGCCGGGGTGAGTTTAATCTTTCAATTTTGACACCAGGAAGAAAGCTGGTTAGAGTTGATGTCACGTTTCCTTGTGATTGATCCCATTTAGCTGTGGAGTGTGGCCCGGCTCCAGAGGTTCCACGTGCAGAAGTCACAGCAAATGGCACTACACTTCACGATGTGGCTACCTATGACTGTATAGCTGGGTACAGGATAACTGGGGGAGACCGTCAGTTGGAATGTCAGCTTCAAGGAACGCGAGGAGAATGGCAAGGAACACGACTAATGTGCACTGGTAAGTGGACCCGTAGTCAAAACAGTAGTGTATTATTGCCAGAGGCTCTGAGAAACCTGGCAATTCTATGGTCTAGTGGTGACGTGCGGAAAACTACCTGCACCTGTGAATGGAGATGTGTTTTGGGAGAGCACAGACTTCAACTCCATTGCTAGCTACACCTGTAGCAATGGGTTTTTCCTGACTGGAGCATCCGAGCGGGTGTGTCTGGCTGATGGGTTTTGGTCTGAGAGACCACCTCGCTGTGTTCCTTCCACAACTGCCAAACCAGACCAAACACTACCAAAGTCGACCACCAGCAAAGCGACAGAGCCTTCGGATGTAAATGATCCCCCTGCAGACCAAATGCCTTTCACTTCTCCAAGACCACATCATTCCCTGCACCACCCATTCACCAGCCACGTAAGACCGACGGTGAGCAAAGTCCCAGCTTCAGACAAATCGAAGAGAGATGCCAATGTCTACATCGTATGGGCAACGATTGCCCTCCTGATATGTCTCATTGTACTTGTCACTGTACTCATCGTTCTGGTGTACGTGAGAAAGCACCGGACGAGTGAACTAGACTCGACCGCAGCCAATTCAGTTGAAAACCCTGTCTACTCAGGTGGGTGATAGCTGTAATGTGTGGGCGGTTATGAGTGTATTTGGGCATCCAACAACAAAGTGCCAGACCCATAGTCCAGCCCGCCCTTGGCACAATTGTTGGGTGTCGTGCCTGCAGCAGCTGGGACACTTTCTAAATGACTGCGATTGTCCACATATTCCCACACCTGCAGGTCAGGGAGGAACTCCTCTAGAGACACTAAACTGCTTCAGACCAACTAGCAACCCAACACCCTGCTCCCTCTCTGGTCTAGAGATGCACGGATTTGGTGTCAAGTCAGCTCCGGAAAACGTGAAAGAGGGGTTCGGTGACTCGAATGGAGTCCATCTCTATGACTTTCCATCGGTGGACATGAGCCACAGCAGAAGCAGTGACTCATACGGAGGGTCACAGGATGGCATCAACGGCGCAGTGGTGGGACACAGCTACGAGTTCCCTGACCACTACCACCTAGCTACTCAATACGAAGTCCCCGTGGCATCATATGAGAAACCAAGACCTCGAGCAAGGCTCCATATCTACAAGAACACCCTACCACCAGATATCTACGTCCCAACACTGGTATACCTCCTATACATTTTGCCTTTACTCATAACTTGCGAAATCCATCTTCTTTAAACAGGAGCAGAAAGCGTCGAGTGAGGAAGAGGTAACCGCACAGCAGCATTATTGAAAATCAGTTTGTATAAGTACTGGTATTCTGCACAGAGGCAGGTGTCTTGTAGGAGCAACAGCACCCTCAGTCCAACAGCCATTGATGAGAACATGTTCTTTGCTGAGACAGAGACCTACTGGAGACCAGCTTCAGACCCAGCCAGTCTCTACGAACAGCTGGCAAGGAATAAGTACCGAGAAATCAACAGGGAACACATACAGTGAGTTTGTTCTTCAGACACACTTTAAATGGTAACAAGTGAAAGAGATGTAGGCAGACCAGTTCATGTTGTGATGGGACCCCATGGGCTCAAGATATTGGCTGTTCTCCAGAACCCTTGACACCTAGTACAAACTACTCCACTTGACACTCAATTGCTTTTGGCACACTTTTAATCACTCGATTTCGGCTGCCCAGGGACCGATGTCAACTCACTAATTGTCTCAGGAAGACGCCCAGATTTTCCCACCTGCCCGTTTGGCACACCCACTAACTTAATCTCTCGTGCTCGCTCACTCAGTTTGACACAATGTTATCTCTCTCCAGAGTCACAGAGCTGCTGGGAGCAGGCCAGTTTGGCCAGGTGAACAGAGGGATATGGCAGAATCCAGACGGAGGGGAGATGGAGGTGGCTGTCAAAACACTAAAGAAAGACGTCACAGAGGAGGACAAAGTTCGGTTTCTACAGGAGGCAGCCATCAGTGGCCAGTTTCAGCACCGAAATGTCGTGAGACTTCAGGGAGTTGTGACAGTCGGTGAACCGGTGAGTCTAGACTGTAAATTCCACGTGGTCCTAATCACATACCCATCCATGACATCATCACAATTAGTTTGCGTGAGGTCCCAAACCACCAATCACTCATGCCTGTGAAATGTGTTGGTCTAGACAGCCAAAGGACAACTGGGTGTTAGTAGTGTGTGTGTCCCATTCATTCTGTGCAGATCATGATAATCCTGGAGCTTCTTCCAAACGGAGATCTCAGAGACTTTCTAATGAAGCAGAGGTCTGGGTAAACTCCACTACTTAGTGGGCAGTAATTGCTTAATAGATGTATATAAACTCAAATTTTATCTTCTAGACTTGGAGAAAATTTGGATAATTCTTGGCCCAAGCAGCTCCTTCACTTCTGTCGAGACATAGCATCTGGTATGACCTATCTCTCCAGCAAGGCATTTGTCCACAGAGACCTGGCAGCTAGGAACATCCTCATCGCTCAAGATCACACATGCAAGGTCAGTCGATGACTTTGGCTCAACTTTTCTCCTCTACCCACAACATATGTAGTCCCAGCCCACACCTTTCAACACTAACTATGCTGTAGTGTATTGCCTTTGATAAATGCAGATGATTAAGGGTCAGTAGGTGAAGAAACAGGTGCTGTACATAGGGTCATAGGTGATCAGTAACTCGGTTGCCTTGTTTTTGCATGCATAAGGCCACAATATAAGTGATTGTTGGGGTATGTGCAAATTAATTTTCAGATTGGTGATTTTGGCTTGTCAAGAGACTTGGATGAGGAGAATTACTACATCTCAAATGGCGGAAAGATTCCAGTGAAATGGACTGCTCCTGAGGCATGTGTTATGGAAAAATCCGTAACTTTGCATTTAGCCACCTTCATGTATGTATGTTGCTCCAGGCTCTCCACTACAAGAAGTACTCTACAGCCAGTGACGTGTGGAGTTTTGGGTGTCTCATGTATGAAATATGGAGTCTCGGACACAAGCCTTTTGAAAAGAACTCTAATGGCGAGGTTTGTTAGTATCAATAAGTTGTATAGTATTTGAGTGAAAAGCTATTTTGTAGACTATCAAGATGATGGACCAAGGTTTCCGCCTACCTCCACCTCCAGGCTGCCCAAGAGCCATCTACCAGCTTATGATTCAGTGCTGGTAATGCTCCCATACATGCAACCCTATTCGCCGACTACTGTGTTTGACATAATCTTCTATGCAGGCATCCAACGACATCATCTCGGCCTGCTTTCCACGTTCTCCTTCATGCCCTGTCAAGAGACTCCAGGAGACTGCTGAGCTGGGGCAAGGGAGACACTGGCACTCACTCCCAGGCATCTGTACTGGGAGCCTCGCTAGAAGCTGGGCTGGACCTCTACATTGACCTCCAGAGAACATATATTATTGCTAGCACCAACTCCTCTCTATGATCTGTTTGTCATGTGTTATTGTGTGTATGCACCATGCGCAACAAATTATACTTACGCATGCGCAGGTTTCGTCGTCTCGTGGGCGTTGTCTCATTCACGATCGCTAGCTCTACAGTTGTTTTACGGTTTAGTTGCCGGAGAAAGGGAACCGGTAATGGAGAGAGCGATGAAATTTCTTCTTGTTACTCTAGCGTGTCTAATGATGCGAGCATCTGCAAGAGGTAATTCATAGCTGCACGTATTCCTACACGTACGTTTGTACATCGCAGATTGCACGGAGTGCTGGAGGGACGTGTGCAGGGCGGCAGGATTCGATATCGATGAAAATTTCAGCGACGACTGCTGCAACTGCGTGGAAGAAATTCCCACCTGTCCGATCGCAGCATATAATACCAGCACTTCTCCGGACTGTTGCAGTGATTGCCAGAGATAGCATCTTGTCCGTGTTGTCCAATCAGAGTGGACCAAATAATGTCTGCAACACTTCCATTTCTCCTTCGTATCTCTTTATGGATCCAGATGATCTTATACCCATCGGATTGAGGACTTGTCAGCGGGAGAATATGTGGTGCCTTATTTTCAGTTCCAGTGCAGAGGCTGTGTTGATGAGGTTCTAGTGCAGGCTCTAGTACCTGACTTTGTCCCTCCAGATCCTGATCCCAATCCCATTACGGTCACAATGAATTTCATGATTTGGTCTCGTCTTGTTGATGATCAGAATGAAACACTCTACACACTGAGGTACAATGTGACTGAAATTGTAACTGAGACAGGCATTCAACCTGAATCAGCCGATGTACACCAACTTACTCTCAATTTTTCGCTCTCAGAAGGAAACGAGTTGTGTTTCAATGAAAGCGAAGTGTTTGGTTTGTCTTTTGGAAGCACACCGGAGCTCAAAGTCATTCTTGCAAGACCAGATCCTAGTTCAGGCTCCACCTACAGCCTGACTCCGAAGATGACACTTGCCCGGAACTGAATGAGTTCCGTGGAGCAACCTCGGTAGAGGATGATGGTAGGATACCATTCATGGCCATTCGTATTAGTAAGTCATTCGTGTGAGCATCAAACTGTGCTTTTCATCATGAAACTGATTTCAGGACCTCCTCAACCACCTTATTCAGTGATTCAACCACCTTCTTCAGTTATTCAACCAACTTCTTCAATACCAACACCATCTCGAGAGGTCACATCAGCCACGATAACTGGTGCAACCGGGAGTAGTGTAGCCAATACTACTCCACTCCCCACTCCATCACTACCGCCTGTAGTGGTCACCACAGCTAACTCCCAGGTCTCTTTCACTCCCAGCCTAGTCATTGCTATATCAGGTGGCTCTGTTGGCGTTTTGGCTGTGGTAGTGGGTGTTGTCTTGACTATCGTAATCGTGCAACGGAGGAACCGCAGAACAGACAAAGTTGATGGCACTGGTAAATCAATCCATACCCACTTTATCCATGTGTTACATTTGCTGTGTATATAGGTACAGGGGGAGGGATAACTAGGGTCACCAGCATGAACATGGAGAGGAGACTGCAGGAGAATTGCCAGATACAGGCTCTCCCAATGAATGGGGTTACATACGACTACCCCACTCCTCAGGTCCATCCCTACCATGTTCTGGAGGCTCCGTCCACTGAGCTCAACAGTCTCGGGAACTACACAACCATGCAGCCAGCTGGTAGTGTACGGGAGGGAGCAATCACCCCCATGGGACATAGCTCCCACACTATTCGGTCGATATACGATGACGATGTGACTTCTGGGGAACACCGAGACCCAGAATACGACGCCCCTAACCTGGTAGACAGACCACACCCACAATAATCTATTCTGATGTTGTGTTTTCTCTCTCCACAGCCGCCACGTCCAATACACGACACACCATTCTATCACGTTCTTGAGGCTCCAGGACAGATCAACGGGCAGCCGGTAAAGCTCCATACACTTTGCTAACTGCAAAGTTAATTTGTTATTAGGTTGCTCAGGTTGGATACGATGACCCAGTAGAGCTGCTTCATGAGAGACAAGTGAGCAAATCCTCTGCCATGAATTACTATTTATCCAACCTACTGTTCTTGTAGGGAAGCAAAGAGGAGATTGTTAACCCCATCTATAATGAGATTAAACCGAGACCACTGCCGGTAATGTGACACACTGATGTAGTATAGTTGATTGTGTGCGAGTGCATGTTTTCTAGAATCCACAGATGTTTGACCCAGCAAGTACTCACCCTTACCATGTGCTAGAGAATCCAGCACAGGTCCTTATGCTGAACTTAATTGCCTGTCATGACCAAGTCAATCTATCCCTGCAGCAGCAAACTGGTGAAAATAGTGAAGCAGAAACAGTAGAAGAGCACGGACTCTACGTTCCCACAGCAGTGAGTATAGTTGGTTCACATGACTGTCTTAAAGTGTTCTCATAAGGAGTTTAGCATTGTCGGCCTGTGTCATATCTGTGTCAACTGCATAGTTTGCTTACCTTTAATGTAAACTCCCTGTGGGGATAACACTATGCACTTGTCTTTGTTTATCTCGCTACCTCATACTACTATTGCGATCTACTACTGCCATATTATCAAAACACACAACGTAGGAGGAGAGGCGGAGGATTCTCAACAATCCATCAAAAACAACTAGTGACCTACAGAATTGGATAAAGGTATTATGAAAGATAAACCACTTTTGGCCATGCAACTATTGTAGAGCTGTACTATTATGTGTGTGCTTTAGAGTAGTGGAGGAATATAGCGATGAAGACAGGAAGTTCACACATACTCATGCAAAATTAGGCAGTATATATTACCATTGTGCATGATACGCCCATGATGATAGTGTGTGTTCACACAAATACACTTGTAGAAAAATCGTGCAGAGAGCACAAAGAAGAGAAAGTTTTTTGAGTCAACCTCGACCTACTGGAAGCCACCATCAGATGCAGACAGTCTGTACAACACATTTGCCCAGAGGAAATACAGAGAGATCCTTTCAGACCAGATACAGTCAGTGACACAAAGACAAATTGTCATATCATTAAAGTATCTCTATATATCATCAGGATAGTGAAGTACATTGGGAGTGGGCAGTTTGGTACAGTCAACCTGGCAGTGTGGAAACAGCAGTATGTTGAACCAATGGAGGTGGCAGTGAAGGTATGCAGGGCTGGCAAAAATGAGGCCATCAAGACCAAGTTCCTGAAGGAGGCAGCCATCATGGGGCAATTCCGACATCCAAACGTGGTGAAACTCTATGGAGTGGTCACCATGTCTGAACTGGTATGGATGGACTCACTAATAGGGAAATCACATAATGTTTCTTCCAAACAGCCTATGATTGTACTGGAGTTGATGAAGAACGGGGACTTGCTTGACTACATGAATAAAAACTTTGAGTGAGCAAAACCCTTTAACATTCTAAAAGCATCAATTATCTCCCCTAAAGGCCAGGAAGACTGCCTCCTCCCTCCCCAACAAGACTCCATTCGTTCTCCCTCCAAGTGGCCTGTGGCATGGAGTACCTCTCCAGCAAATCCTTTGTCCACCGAGACCTCGCAGCCAGGAACATCTTCCTTAATGAACTCCACCAATGCAAGGTGTCCTACATACCTCTCTTTCGCAATACAGAATGCTCCATAGGACCATTAACGCTGTAGATAGGGGATTTTGGGATGGCTAGAGATCTGGAGGACTCAGAGTACTACATCATGTCCAGGAAGGGACCGCTGCCTTTCAAGTGGACAGCTCCCGAGGTCTGGAACTAGTAGTTAGTCTTATGTGCAGTTAATATACACGTCATGTTGTGCCACAGGCTCTCAACTATCGCAAGTACTCTACGTTCAGTGACTGCTACAGCTACGGAATGGTTCTGTATGAAATATGGTCAGTCGGAAGAGAGCCCCTACCTGGAATTACAATCAAAGAGGTATATTCTATACTAACACTACTAAATAATGGCGGCATGTACTCTTGTTGAATAATAGGTTCCTGATCTGGTGAGTAAGGGGTTCTGTCAGGCTCCACCCCCAGGCTGCCCCAGAGCAATCTATGAGCTGATGGTCAAGCTTTGGTAAGCAGAGCATTTTGACTGACTACTGATTTCACAATATTCATAAATGTGTACAGGAACCCGGACAAGCGACATCGTCCAACGTTCCCCCAGATTGTGCAGTATCTGAGGCAGCCGGAGGAGCAAGTCCTCGGCTGGTCGGAGGAAGACAGGGGAGTCTCCAGCCAGGCCTCTGTTCTCGGAGCTCCGCTGGAGGAAGGAAAGAACCTCTACCCCACACTGCAGAACGCCTACCAGTCCAGCTGGTGCTAGATATACTCACTGAGAGAGGTAGTCGATTAGCACTAAACACTAACTGCGTTGTAAAGCTGAATCATGAATTTCGAAGTTTGGCGGGGTTAGTGCGCATGCGCTGCGCGTTGCTAATCAAAAAGGCGGCGCGGCGGCGGAACCGCGATAAATGCTGTTCCAAGCCGCTGGTTTTCTTCAACCGATCAGGAGTGTCCCACGCTTTACTCTCATGCACTGAGTACATAGACAGCAACTTTGCTAGCCCGGGACCATACGCCGGCTTGTAGCCAATCGCAAAGCGCCGCCAGTCACCGGAAGCCTGCACCTGCGGCATCCAGGCTTTCCCACTGAACGATCACCGATACTCCGCAGCCAGTCCTGAAAGATGATGAACCTTCTCGCGGCCTTTCTTTTCTGCAGTCTCTGCATTGGAACTGGTGAAACTTGTCGTAGGCTAACTGCAACTAGCGATGTGCGTAGCTCTAGTTCTTTTCTGATCCGCCGTCGACTGGGTCCATGTGGACGTGCACGCGAGCTTGTGTTGTTTCTAAACCATGAATCTTGGTGACATAGACCTATGAATACGATCTTTCTATTGCAGGGCTTACTGATACAGAGAGAGCTGTGGATGGTCTTGGAGACGGGTCTCCATTCGCAGTTGAAGGTGCCCAACACCTGCCCTACGGTGTATTGGACAGTTACCAGGTTCTTCTGCCTGGTCTAAAATTTAACTGCTACGGAAACTGACAAGTTGGAGTGCTCTAGTAGTGTACAGATATAAACCTGGCAGTGGTGCACTGTATCAGGTAACCTTCCAGGTGTGGAGACCAAATGGTTCTGGGAGATACAGACTCGTTGGTTTCGATAAACTATTTAGAAGTAGTATCTCACCCATCCATGCTACTCATGAAAATGAGGAAACTGGCTTATTATTACCTGTCGAACGCAACTGAACAAAGAGAAGGAAATCAGACGTCTGAGAACAAAAAACCGCTCTATTTTAAACCTGGTGACATCATAGGTTTCGACATTCTGTCCTTCTTCACAACAACCAACCAGCCAATGTTCATCACGTATCGAAACCAGGCTCCGGGTGATCCAGACCATCTAGTGATGGACTTGTTCTACAACACAACTGATGGAGATAAACGCTCAGTGTGAAATGAACACTTGCTCAGACGGAATGGAGAAAATTGAATCCGTGGTGCCCAACATTTTCTTCACATACGGTATGTTCATCTTAGTCAGGCTTTTGCAATAATGTTACTTTACCACCTGTCCACCTCTCCAGAGGAGGTGAGTAAGGACAGTGAAGTTTTCCTGCACCAGGATCCCTCATCAACGGTAGATTGCGAACCAGTGGAGTTTGCAGTAGATGAATGCCCACCATCTGTTGCACCATCATCCAGCTTAGCCCCCTCCAATGGTGCTAGCGTCCCCAGCACCTCTCCCCTCGCTTCCTCCACAAGGGACACAGAACGTTATACTGATCATAGCGGTCTCTGCAGGTGGTTCGGTACTCATACTAGTCCTAGGAGGAATACTGATTGTGGTTGTGGCCCTGGTCTGCAAGAAGAAGAAGACGCTTGGTAAAGGATTACTGCTCATTGGCGTACAACTTTATCCAACCTCTTTTTTCTCTCAGGTGATGATTATGACTCTCCTAGGGAGGCATCCAATGCTCTCTACAGGTAAAAACCTGTGCCTCACACAAATCCACTTCCCAACTTATTTCTGCTTTCACAGTGAGATGAATGTCGACGAACCAACTGCCTATGCGTCTACCTACCGAATAAAGCCAGGGATCTACGTGGAGCAAGAGAGGAACGCAGCCAACCCTTCGACGCCTCATTTTTCAATTCGAGCTGGAGACTCTGTCATGTCTCTCTCCAGTCACAATGGCCGCGCACCCTTCTCCATCTCGGGTCCCGTACATAGCAACGGCCAGGTCCCCTTCCAGAGGATCCTCCAGCCAAGTGAGATGGGTGCCATGTCAATGCAGCTACCCAGAGGCTACAGAAATGGAGGAAGCTCGGCGGGAGAGGACCAGAGAAGATCTCTCCGCGTAGTGTCTAGCGGGACGCACCAACGACCACCCATTCCCTCAGCAATGCACCGTCAGAACACAGACGGAAATTCCCGACATGCGTCGATGCCCCTAAAGTCCATCAGAGACACTCAAAATCAGTTGAACCCCGGGAAATCTCTGCCAGCTCTCTCGTCTTATCCCCAGTCGCCCTCACCGTACCCCTGCCCCCCAACTCCCCAAATTTCAGACCCCCCAGTACCCTACCTTCTCCCCACCAAACCCTGGTACAAGAGCAACTATGAACCAACCAAAGTCCCAGTGAGTTGTTTGTTCGGTTCGAAGTTTTTAGAAAGGCCACTTTTCATAATAATTTATTGTAAATCTTTACCAAAACGTATATTTTGAGTTCTTGAAAATGCATCTATGATATTAAAGCATTGCATGCCAAGATGTACAAATTAGTTTACGCAATACTCGGACAGCAGATTGAGCAGGGGGCACTCAGAGTGCACAAGGTTCTAATAGCCTGTACAACACTCCTCCAGTGTGTGTGCACACAGGTAGATACACACCTTGAGACAACATCTTGATGTGTGTTTGTCACTGTCTGCAGGAGAAGGAGAGGCCTCACACTCTGCCAGGTGAGGAGGGGCTCTATGTGCCAACAACAATGGTCAGTTCACACCAGACTTGTAGACAAAATTTGTGAATTAACAATTTGTGTAAAATGTTGTGTAGGAAGAGGGAAACAGTACGGGTGAGGACTATTCCCGATTACGACAGCCGCACCATTCGAAGGTAAAACACTACGGTTGTAGAGTATCATGGGATAATAAAAAGATTCCCTGGGTGTGAACCAACAAACTCCTGCCTTATGCAAACTAGCCAGGTTTCATAATCCACAGAAACTTGGCAAATATAAACTCTAGTATCTTTGGTTTATGGCATGTGTGTAAACCCCTTCTCCCATGTAGGGGTCCAACGATGACTCAGCATTCTTTGAGGGCCCAGACATTTTTAACGAGCCTGCGTCCTCCACCAATGAGATATACCAGCAGCTCTCCAGCTGGAAGGCCAGGGAAATCATCCGCAAATACATCACGTGAGTCCCCGGCACAATTTATCATTCCGTTCGATGGCACGTTTGTGGTAGAACCATACACCACAACATGTTTACCATTACAGAATGGTCTACTCTCAGCGCTCTCTCTCCACGCATGACTTGTTAGTCCAGTTGGTATCCCGGATTCCTCATCTCTGGAGCGTAGCTAGCATGTGTGGGACACCACTGAGTCAGCATGTATGGTAGCAGAGTTGTATGGGAGATACCACTGCTCTGGAGCGTAGCTAGCATGTGTGGGGGATGGAGGTTAGGGAGAGGTGGTCATTGGAGTTGCTCACTCACCCATACCCTCCCCTTCGCCAGCCACCCACACTCCCACACCACACATCCCAGACATGCTGTATCACACTTTGTGGTCATGGCTTAATGGGCACCAGAGTGTACCCTGTCAAGCTCCACTACCCTTTGCAAATGAGCTCTTCCTTGATTCTAGGTTCTCCTAAACTTGCATAGTGTGTATACATACCAACTGTGCACACTTTCATGTTCCTTCGACATCATTTTCAATAAACAGGCTTCACCATAGGATTGGGTCTGGCCACTTTGCGACGGTGTGTCGCGGAGTGTGGCAGAGACCAGGGGGAGAGCAAGAAGTGGCAGTCAAAGAGCTCAAGAGCGGAGCCGTGGAGGAGGACAGGGTAAAGTTCCTGCAGGAGGCGGCCATCATGAGCCAGTTCAACCACACCAATGTCGTGAAACTACATGGAATTGTCACAATTGATGAACCAGTAAGCCTCCTATAGACTCGCCTCATGTCCTGTATTGTTAACAAGATTGATGTGAGCGATGAATAGATCCTAACAATCGATTCATTAAAAATTGGTGAATGCTGTACTCCTAGCTTTTATTCATTGTCTATCTCCAGTTGCTGATTGTCATGGAACTAATGCCAAACGGAGACCTCAAAAACTATCTTGACAGATTCACAGCCAACAGACGGTAGAATGAAACTTTTCAAGAAGAAAGCATATGTTATTGTTTTTCTTTCTCTTTCAGTTCGCCCCGCCAGCGGCGCAGTCCTGGCTCAACTCCGCCTCCTTCACCGGGATCTCTTCTCCCCATCACTCCCTCCCTCCCTCACCAACTCCTCTCGTTCTGCCGGCAAGTGGCCGACGGAATGGAGTATCTGGCCCAGAAGAGATTCGTCCACAGGGACCTGGCCACCCGCAACATTTTTCTGACTAAAGATTTCACCTGCAAGGCACGTAGATCAGATATTTAGCACAATGGACTGGGAGGGAGAGAATGCTGTAGATAGGCTCCAGTTGATAGTGGTGTTATTGTTGGTATCAGTTGTGGAGAGTGGGCAAGCCTAACTGGCCAGGTCCAGATGTGCTGGTCGGAATATTCACATGACTCTCTGTAGTGAGTGAATCTCTTATACTCAGATTGGGGACTTTGGATTGGCGAGGGATCTGGGGGGAGATGACTTATACCAGTCCACTGGAGGAAAAATACCTGTCAAATGGACAGCTCCAGAGGTAAGTTATCATCATTTTGGTAGACCTAACTTAAAATCTTTTTGACTCTCTGTATAGGCTCTGCAGTATCGACATTTCACTAGTGCCAGTGACGCATGGAGCTATGGAATGGTTCTGTTTGAAATCTGGTCTCTGGGCCACAGGCCATTCGATGCCTGCTCAATAGAGAAAGACGTAAGTGTAACTTACTCGTGTAAACATATGGAGTGTGTCTTTGGAATTAAATACCTCTGATTTTAGAAACAAATCCTCCTCACGGGCTATAGGGTCCTTCTCCTTAACACTCTGTGTGTTTGTGGTATGTTGAATTTTGGGAAGGACATGCTCAATAGTGCGTTGATAGTAGTAAAGCCTCGTTGTCCTCTCATGCTCCGACACATGCTTGACTGTGGAGTAACACTGTCTGAGGCTTGCCTGGCCTTGCTGGCATGGACTGAGGGTCCTGTTCTGTGGCCTAGCTGGCCCGTGGGAAGGCTGCACTGACTGCCATTGAATATCTCCACATGATCTGCCACGCTTTTGTCCACATTAATTGCCATGACTTCCCCTTGCCAAGACTACTGCCAATGGCTCTTTTTGATAGGCCTTTTTACCCGTTACCCCTCTCTACCTCCCTCTCATCCCTCCTTCCCTTGTTCTCACTTCTCTTTGTCTCTCTTTTCTTACCCAACTCTACATATGTACCTCTCTCTCTGCACATATATACATACAGGTAATGGAGCTGATAGGGAGCAATGTATGTCAGCCGCCACCACCTGGCTGCCCTCGCGAAATGTACAAACTCATGACTCTTTGCTGGTACGTAACTCAGACATATATACGATCCACCCCTTGTACCCCTTTGCGGGCAGTCCAAATGTGTCTGTATAAGTGCATGGTAGTAATCAACACGCAGCTGTCAATAGCTGTACAGACTATTAGCAGTGCTGGGCTTGGCGGGTATGTAGATAATTGACAGATTTGTTATGGTGTGTGCTGGTTTGTTGTACTTCAGCACATTACGCCAATTATTCAGCCTCAAAGGATAGTTATCTCGCCACAATAAACAAAAATGTAGTATCATCAGCATCCGCTTCATTCCTTTGTCATCCACTTACCTTACTCTCTCTCACACACACACTTTTCTCTCCCTTCCCTCTCCCATCTTTCATGCCATACTCACAGGAACAACAAGGCCAGTAATCGCCCCAGCTTCTCCCACATCTGTGAATACCTCAACCAGTCGGACAGCAAGCTGCTGAAGCTCCCGGCTGAGCTTCCGTCAACTCTGTCTCCCCAGGCCACCCAGTTAGGAGCCTCTCTAGCAGAGGGGAAGGGGCTGTACTCTGACCTGCAGTATGGATATGAAGAGTCAATAGTCTAGTCTACCATGTCATACTCTAGAGACTGATATATACCTGGAGACTGTTAACCCATGCAACCCAGTCACTTTCATGCGCGTGTGTGTATATACGTGTGTCCACAATCAGTTCATTTGCATAATTTAACAACTGAACGGCCGGCCAGCTGCTTGTGCGTTGACATGCGCAGAAAAATGCGGAGAGAGGGGTGTAGCTAGCTAGCTGCCTAGCTAGGACAGAGAATCTGCGAGGCCTTGAATGATGTGGTTGTTTCTCTTCAATATCTTACTGGCTGCAAGCGGTAATTTACCTCATGGAACTGTGTGAAGATTTATAGCTAACCATTCCGTCCGTCATCTCCCGCCTCTGCACAGTGGAATGCGGGGATGCTTCAGAGTTCGCGGACTCCATGCCATCCGTGACTTCAGTCGAAATTCCACAAGCTTCAACTACCCCTGGCAGGAATGCAGATAATGAGGGCGACAGCAGAACTTTAGTTTTAGTACTGGGAGATTGTTATCCCAATCGGTTAATTACCCACGCGAGCATCGGGGCAATACTGTAAACTTACTTAATTTCTTTTACCTGCAGTTGTGGTAGTGGTTGTTGTGAGTATCGCTGGAGTAATGTGCTACGAAATGGCAGGTTAGATAACTGTGTGTCCTATACTATTCCCATGTGATGTGTAGCTACTATAAACCCCCAGTGAGAAGGGGTTGTCGTCTTGTTGGACCGAGGGAAGTTACATTCTCCAGCTCAGAGGCTGTGACCTACGATCGACCTGACGGAGGTCACAAGGTTCCCTATACGTCTCATACAGACACACCGGCTACCACCCCACAACGAAGGCCCCATAATCATTATGCGGAGGAATGCAGTAGAACCTATGAGCTAACATCGAGCTACGTTGATCCAGTAGACAATGTGGTGAATAGGCCTCTTCTGCTACCAGGAGGACCAAAACCAAATGGTGGTGTCGGACCAAACTATGAAGAGCCCAGTTGTATCTCAGGGAGTGGCCCTGGCTCAGTGAGTGACGACTTAGCTAGCTACTCACCTGACCCATGTAGCTATCCCATATTAGAGGATTTTGACAATTCCTATTGTGCAATCTACTACATCGACGAGCTGTTCATGTTATTTTTAATTCATCTATTTGGTCACAGAGACAGACAAGTAGGCAATACAGTACTGCATACTCTACTGTGTTTCAGACAGCAGGAACATATGTACCCACATTGGTATGCTCTGTTTAGGGTTTAAAATTCACTCTTTTCATAACTCTGTTAATCAACTCTTAGGAGGAACGTGTTTTCGTTGATGGCCGCTATGAAACACAGCATTCCATGAAGGTGTAGCTAACTCGTTTAATTAGTTTGCATTCAAAATTATCTATGCTCCGTTTCTCTACTATGCAAGCATCAGTACAACAAGCTGTGTTTCTTCCCAGAGGACAAGGTATACTGGGCACCTGCTACCACAGCATCTGGTCTGTACGCCCAGCTCTCGGCCAAGAGGTACCGGGAAATACCCAGAGAGCAGCTCAGGTAAGAGACTTTGGAGATTAGTATATAAAAAGTTAAACGGAATATGTTGCAGTATATTATAGGGGCTAAATGTCAATGAAAACTGAACGGAAACCTAATTGAATTCATGCACTGGGCCCTATCGTTACTAACAACATTTCTAAGCCCATTACAATCTCATAGGCTACTGGAGCAGATAGGGTCAGGGTATTTTGCTACCATCTGCAAGGGTCTGTGGATGTGTGAGGGTGAGTCAATGCTGGTGGCAGTGAAAAAACTGAAGGAGAATGCGTCTGAGAGCGACTGCGTCAGGTTCCTGCAGGAGGCAGCGACCATGGGCCAGTTCTGGCATCCTCGAGTCATCACACTTCATGGAGTGGTGACTGTTGGAAAACCAGTACGATCTAACACAGAAATTTTATATGTTAGCCACAGAAGTTTCACTTCCTTGCAGAGCCTTATCGTGATGGAATACGCTCCAAACTGTGACATACTCAAGTATTTAAAGAAAATACGGGTCTGCACAACGTGAGCTGCAAACATTCCACCATTGCAATACCTCCTGATTACCATGGTTCCATCTATGCCTACGTATGCAGTAGAGGAGACCGTGAAAACCATGCCGAGCTGCAGAAACAGTTTCTAGGTTTTGCTATTGATATTGCCAGTGCCATGGTGTATCTCTCTGGGAAGAAATTTGTACACCGTGACCTAGCTGCCAGGAACATTCTGCTGGATGCCCACATGAAATGCAGGGTATTAACGTATACAAACACTCCCTCTGGACTACTAATTCAATTCCCCTGTGCAATATCGTCTGTTGCAGATAGCAGATTTTGGGCTGACGCGCCACCTGGCAGAGAATGGGTATTATGATTCGGGACGAGGGCAGATACCAGTCAAATGGACAGCTCCAGAGGCTCTGCTGTACCAGAGGCACTCCAGTGCCAGCGACGTGTGGAGCTTTGGGATGGTCCTGTACGAAATGTGGGCACTTGGGCTCCCTCCGTTCAGAAACACCTCCAATGAAGAGATTGTATACATCCACAATAGGAGGCGAGGCTACTGCCTTCCTCCACCTCCTGGCACTCCCAGAGCTATCTACAACCTCATGGTCAAGTGCTGGTGAGTAAAATCTCATCGATAAGAAATAAAAGAGAGCATTGTTGATTGCAGGCACCCGGAGCCAAGGCAGAGGTCCATGTTCCAGCAGCTGTACCAGAGTCTGAGTCAGCCAGAGGAGCTCCTGCTGAGCTGGTCAGAGGAGGAGGAGGAGGTGTCAGAGCTGGCCAGACAACTGGGAGCTGACCACGCCCACTCACAGAACCTCTACAATGACCTCCAGAATAAATATTCTCATGAATAATACATATACAGCCCCACCCATTTTTGTAAACCCGGAAGTAAATATACGTAAAACCTCAATAAAATTTCTGGTTGCCCCGCGGCCGTGGAGTCAAGATGCTATGGCTAGTGGTGTTTGTTGCTGTGGCTGGGACCACAGGTAAGCTCAGCTGACACGTGGCATTCGACTTCATAGCTACGTCGTATGGGTGGGTGTCTGTAGGTATCGTGAGCTGTGAAGGCCGAGGGGATGAAGAAAGGACTGCGGGAATCATCGCAGGATCAGTGGTTGGTGGAGTGGTCCTCATCATTGTAACGATCATCACGATCGTGCTCTGCGCTCTCTACTGCTACAAAAGAGTAACAAGTGCGTACATCTGTGTAAAATATCATTGAAAGAGCTGATATATTTATATGCACAGGTTTAGAGCATGTGCTCTCGAGCAAGAGCCGCGATGACTCGAGAAGGGCCATGCAAGACGAGAAATCGAGTCTCATGACGAATGAGTACGACACCGTGTGCACGGGAGACGAGCTCTCTCTCAGCAGCTCTGTCTCCCAATCAAATCGAGGTCGAGTGAGATCCTCGCACCCACCGAGAGAGATAGAGTCAGAGTATTCCGAGATCAGGAGAGACTATATCAGTAATCGCAACAGCAAGTCACCGTGTTCTCGCAGCGCCACCCCGACAGACAACCCTCTGGTCTCGGGGATCAGAGGAGGAGTCGTATCGTACGGAGCAGTCAGTGGAGACACCGACGACCGTCCGTACAGCTACATACAAGTGGGAAAGAGAGACGTGGCCGTCAGCCGAGGAGGTCCAAACAGCCTCAGTCTCATAGTGATGTTGATGGTTCAGAGAGTGGTTTCGCTCCAAGGACCAGGGTAACTACCAACGTTCTTCAGGTGTGGGCACGTTACCATACTGTAGCCTAGTACGTGAAATATTTTCCATGTTTTGGGTGTGTATTAGCACAGGACTACATCATTTTTTGTGTTCTTTCCTCCCACTCCATGTTTGCGTTTGTCTGCAAATCCCTCCCTGACATCATCTACACACAGTCTCTGGCGCACTGTAAAAGTGGCACATATGTACCCACTACCGTGAGTATAACGAGTCTTGCCCCTTTAATTAATTCTGAGTACAAATTCTTTTTTACTCATAACAGAGGCAGCGAACAGGGCCAATTGAACCCCAACCTGCACCAGAAATGGAGGTAAGAACCACAATACTCTCAGAGTATGAGATAGTGTATCCTGTTTCCTCAATAGACTGAGGAGCCAGTGTATGACAGGCTGGCTCCAAGGTACGACAGACTGGCAGGGTTCTTTGATCCCGAGAAAGACTACTGGACTCCAGCCCAGACAACCTCTGACCTCTATTCCCAGCTCTCTGATAACAGATACAGAGAGATTCCACGACAGGGCATCATGTGAGCTTCTCCCAAACCTTTCCGAGTCTAATGTATTGGCCTAATCTATATACATGTATATATACACTGCTTGTTTTTTTTACTTTGCTTTGCTTTTTTCGGTTGTTGATTTTTAGTATGCTGGAGCAGCTGGGGGCTGGTCAGTTTGGCCGAGTGTACAAGGGATTGTGGATGAGTGAGGGTGAGGCTCTGCACGTGGCGGTGAAGGCTCTACACGAGGATGGCGGGGAGGAGGACAGAGTCAAGTTTCTGCAAGAGGCAGCTCTCATGGGCCAGTTCTCCCACTTCAATATCATCAGGCTCTACGGTGTTGTCACTGTCACTGCCCCTGTGAGAATGTGTGTGTGTGTACATCTGTGTGTCTGTGTGTGTGTGTGCTGGAGTGAGTAGAGGCACACACAAACTGCTATTTATGGTGGCAGTGTTTATTAATACACAGTCACTGATTGTTCTGGAGCTAGCTCTCACTGACCTCCACCGATATCTCCGTGGAATCAGATTCAGGTACGTCGTGTCACACAATCTCCACATCATCAGTGCAACTCTGTCTGTGATGCTCTAGTCAGCAGTACACCAGCTACCTCCCGAGGCAGCTCCTCCAGTTCAGTCTCGACGTGGTCTCAGGGATGCAGTACCTGAGTGGCAAGAGGTTTGTGCACAGAGACCTGGCAGCTCGCAACATTCTCCTGGATTTCTCACTAGTGTGCAAGGTAGAGTGACACATTAGTGTTAGCATTCTCTCTTACCATACAATTCTCGCTAGTATGCAAGGTATAGTCATGCATTAGTGTTTGTATACTGTATAATTATGCTGCCTCTGTTGTGAAAATTGGTATCTGTTGGTAATGTGGGACTGCAGATTGGGGATTTCGGGATGGCCAGAAACCTGATGGACGACAGCTACTACAAATCCACAGAGAACAGACCGCTCCCTGTCAAGTGGATGGCCCCCGAGGCACTCCTCTATCGACAATACTCCTCGGCCAGTGACGTGTGGAGTTTCGGGATGGTCCTCTACGAGATATGGTCCGTGGGGAGGAAGCCATATGAACAGCTGACCAACCAGCAGGTGATAGACAATCTGAACAGCAAGATGTGCCACCCTCCACCCCCTGGCTGCCCCAGAGCTATCTACTCTCTCATGGTGTCCTCCTGGTAAGATGACTGTAATAATATGGCTACCAGAGTGGCAGAGAGGAATTTTTACTGCCTGGGTTTGACTCCTTAACAGATGGATTTTTTTGAGAAAACTTAACTAAATTACCCTATGATTGATGCAGGATATATTTGTTTGTTTGCCACTTGCAGGCACCCGGAGCCGAGGCAGAGGTCCACGTTCCAGCAGCTGTACCAGAGTCTGAGTCAGCCAGAGGAGCTCCTGCTGAGCTGGTCAGAGGAGGAGGAGGAGGTGTCAGAGCTGGCCAGGCAACTGGGAGCTGACCACGCTTACTCACAGAACCTCTACAATGACCTCCAGAACCAATACCTCAATGACACTGACATGTATTGATAGATGACATCATTTCTACTTATATATGAACTCATTCTTGCACCTCAATGTGGACATTGAATGGCTTGATGTATATATTGGGTTGTGTCTCTACTTTTTTATTGATATTTTGTATGGTGTATACTGAAGTCCACATTGCACATCATTTAGCCCCACTAAGCGTTTCTTCGCCACTGATCTCTACTTGTCAGTGAATATACAAAAGACATTTTTACAGAGAGAAACAACAGATATAATGTTACATACTTCTGACTTAGGTGAAGGTGAAAGAATTAGAGCACACACTGTACATT